TGCAATGCAATGGAAGAGATTAATGATCTCTCTGAATTAAATACACCTGCCAATATGCTTGCTGTGATTAGAAGACTGCCATATAAGTTAAAAGACAAATGGCGAACAGTACCATGTGACATTCAGGAGAGGCAACATCGCAGAGCCGCATTCATTGACATTGTTTCCTTCCTTGAGCGTCAAGTTAAAATTGCAACAGATCCTGTCTTTGGAAATCTATGTGACATTCCAGCAACACATCTAACAGCCAAGGGCAGCAATGGAGGGAAACGTTCTCCACATCTAAGAGCTAAAGAAAGTAGCTTTGCCACAACAGTCTCTGATGTTGAGAGACAGAATCAGATAGAGGCTCAAGATCGTCACAGCACTGTGAAGGCTTGTTTTTTTTCTGCAAAGGCAGACACACACTGGAGTCATGTGCTCTGCTTGATAAGAAACCTCATAATAAGAAGATTTCTTTTCTTAAAAAGAACCGCATTTGTTTTGGCTGTTTGTGTACTGGGCACATAAACAAAGAATGCAGAAAACGCCTTTCATGTAAAATCTGTGGTCTCTGACATGCAAGTATACTCCATATCCACCACAAAGAGAAGAATGAAGTCAAACCTAATAATGAGGCAGATAACATTCCTGTTACGATCCAGACTAGTGGTCTTACTGGGGCCGGTGAACAGGACTGTAAGCTTGCCATTGTGCCAGTTAAAGTAAAATCAAAGAGAGGTCAAAGAATAGTGGAAACGTATGCCTTTCTGGACCAAGGGAGTTCAGCATCCTTTTGTACAGTGGGTCTTATGGACAAGCTGAATTTTTCTGGGAGGAGGACAAAGATTCTCCTGCGCACCATGGGACAGGAGAAAGTGGTGGACAGTTTCATTGTACCTGAACTTGAATTTGCTGGATTGGACAGTGACATGTACTGTGATATGCCTAACCTCTTCACTCAGCATAAAATGCCTGTAGATATTGGTAACATCCCAAATCAACAGGACCTGGATGACTGGCCACATTTGAAGCATGTTCATTTGCCAGAAATTAAGGCCAATGTGGAGCTTTTGATTGGCATGAATATGCCCAGAGCTCTAGAACCTTTGGAGGTCATCCGGAGTGTAGGTGATGGACCTTTTGCCATTAGGACTGTGCTTGGCTGGACAGTGAATGGGCCACTTAATAGAGAATGCTGTGGAAGGCCAGGATGTTTGGCAACAGTTACTGCCAACAGAGTTTCTGCTGTCAACCTGGACAAGCTATGGAAACAGCAGTTCCAAGATGGACTTTCCAGAGAGCAGCGATGATGAACAGATGGGGCTGTTAAAGGAAGACTTGAAGTTCCTGGAATTGGCCAGCAAGTCGGTGACTTTGGGGGATTGGCACTACAGCATTGCCCTGCCACTGAAAGACCGAGACATAAGAATGCCTGACAACCGTGCAATCGCTGAGCAACGAGCCTTAGGTTTGAAGAAAAGGTTAATCAGAGATAAAGACTTTCACAAAGACTACACTGCCTTCATGACAGATCTCATATCTAAAGGATATGCAAAGAGAGTGCCAGTCGCAGAATTAGAGCGCAGTGATGGGAAGCTTTGGTATATCCCTCACCATGGGGTTTACCATCCTACCAAGAGGAAGATGTGCGTCGTCTTTGACTGTGCAGCATCATTCCAGGGTGTCTCTCTTAATGCGCAGCTCCTGAGTGGTCCTGACTTAACAAACAGTTTGGTTGGCGTACTGACGAGGTTCAGAAAAGAGCCCATTGTTTTGATGTCTGACATCGAGGCTATGTTTCATCAGGTGCATGTGCCAGAGGAAGATGCTGACCTTTTGAGGTTTCTCTGGTGGCCCGGTGGTGACATCAATCAGCGCATGCAGGAGTACAGGATGGGTGTTCATTTGTTTGGGGCAACGTCCTCTCCGAGCTGTGCTAACTACGCCCTGCGGAAATGCGCAGAGGATAACAAAGCATACTTCAGCCAGCAGGTGATCGACACCATTCTGTATAGTTTTTATGTCGATGACTGCCTTGCTTCAATATGCTCTGAAGAAGAAGCCATCCATCTTTACTCAGACCTCAGAGACATTTGCGCCAAAGGTGGTTTCCACTTAACAAAGTGGATCAGCAATAGCCGCAGTGTTTTGGCAGTTATACCTGAGGAGGAAAGAGCAAATGAAGTTAAGGAGCTAGACCTGGATTGTGACCTTTTACCTGTTGAGCGGGCATTGGGAGTGAAGTGGTGCCTGCAGTCAGATGCATTTAAGTTCTGCATATCTATCCCAAACAGACCATTGACTCGGAGAGCAATCCTATCCACAGTAAGCTCTTTCTATGACCCTCTGGGGTTCCTTGCTCCTGTTATCTTCACAGCCAAGAGAATCCTTCAAGATCTGTGCCAGAGGGGGATAGGATGGGATGATGCTATACCATCAGCAGTTGCTCAAGAGTGGAAAAGCTGGGTAGAAGAATTGCATCTGTTGAACAACATCAGCATCGGACGATGTTTAAAGCCTTCTGACTTTGGACAGACGACCACCGCTCAGTTGCATCATTTTGCAGATGCGAGTGAGAAGGGCTATGGGGCTGTTACCTACCTGTTGCTGCACAACAGTCGCTCACAGACGCACAGTTCTTTTATAATGGGAAAATCCAGAGTGGCACCTTTAAAACCAGTCACAATCCCTCGCATGGAATTGACGGCAGCAGTGGTAGCGGTTCGCATGGATAGAATGTGGAGGAGGGAGCTGAGACTACCTCTCCTAAACTCTGTCTTTTGGACGGACAGCACCGCAGTGTTGAAATATATAAACAATGAGACTTCCAGGTTCCGTGTTTTTGTGGCGAACAGAGTGTCAGAAATCCTCAAGGCTTCTAGTGCCTCCCAATGGAGGTATGTGAACACCACACATAACCCTGCGGACCTTGCCTCCAGAGGTATGAAGGCAGAGACCTTTTTACGTGACACTGAATGGATATCTGGTCCTGCATTTCTTACACAGCCAGAGAACAATTGGCCTGTGAACCCAGGAAACTTGCAAGAACTTCCACATGAAGATCCTGAAGTTAAGGTGTCTGCTGCCATCAAGGTCTTACAAGCACACGATGATGATCATCCTCTGACCCTTTTAATCCATCGTGCCTCATCCTGGACTCGTCTCATCAGGGTGATGGGTTGGATTTTGAGGTTCAAGACATTGGACGAGGAAGGGCTCCAAACTGCTCTTTGTGAAGTGGAGTCAGTCCTCAACAGTAGACCCATTACGCTGGAATCCACTGATCCAAATTATTTGGAAGCATTAACACCAAACCATCTCCTTTTCAAGTCCAACCCGTCTTTACCACCTGGCCTGTTCCGCCTGTTCTACGCACGTAAACGATGGAGGCAAGTTCAATATATATCTGACCTGTTTTGGAACAGATGGACTAAAGAGTACTTGCCACAACTTCAGCAGCGCCAGAAATGGGGAAGGATTAAATGCAACTTTGTTCCTGGAGATGTGGTCCTTATAGTGGATGATTCTGCACCTCGTGGTTCATGGATCATTGGGAGAGTCACCGGAGCTGCACCAGATGAAAAGGGGCTTGTGCGTCAGGTCTGGATTAAGACCCCAACCAGCCATGTGTGCAGACCCGTCACAAAGATATGCCTTCTTCAGGAGGCCTCTGACCCATGACGATGACATTTTTGACACAGAGTGACATAACTAACTTTGAATTGACTTTAATGTTATGAGATGTACATCACAGACTGACTATATTTAGGCTAAGTGCTGGTAACCTCTGGCCTATGAATGACTGACCGTGTGCAGACAGAAGAAAAGAAGAGAAGAAATGAGAAAATAACTTTGGTGGACTTTTGAGTATGTTACGTTGTCTCACTGGGTGTCTGTGATGTGATGAAGTGTGTCTGTGATGTGATGAAGTGTGTGTTGTGAGTTATGGTGTTGGATGTGTAATTATTACTGTAAGAATGTAATAATTAGGGGCTGGAATGTTATGGATAGGCGTAGCTTTGGGTCACGTGGTGCCGGTAATAGTGATTGCTATATCACCTGTTCACATCCCGAGGGAATTTTTGTGAATGAGTGGGTGATGGGAGAAGTCGACTTTTGCTGACCGCTCAAGCTTAGAATGTTTTTTGATCACTGTTTTTCTACGGATTTTAAGGATTTGATAACAAATAAAGAAGCTTGCAATCTGGAACTTTGACATACGTTTTGAACTGCGGGCGCGTCAACATTATTCCCCTATTCAGCTGCTCGGCAACTCAAAGGCTTGACAGGCGCCAATAGGTGAGTTATAATGCATCTCCACTAGAAGATGGTCCCCTGTTATCTACTTTTTCACAGGCAAGCGTGGGTGAGAGTCTACAGCATTCTACCCCCCAAGGACACGTAGTCTAATGCCTTTATTTTTCATGACCATGTCCACTTAATACTGCACTATATGGTTATATGGCATTTTAGTTAATATACAGCATAGAATTGAGGCACTTCAAATATTTTCATCTCAACACCTCCTCCCTGGAGATAAGGAGTCTCACTATCTGCCTCATGTCTCATGGTGCCTGGGAGTTTCAGTCCAACTCACTCACAATACACATCTGTGTGTGGAATAACATATTTGATGTTTTCCTATATGTAGAACAAAGTCGCACAAAATGTACTATAGATATTACTAAAGTGATATTGTCAAAACATATGATCAACACATAAAATAAAGAAATGTCCATCACAAGAGTTAGCAGCTTACACAAGAACAGAAAGAATATGAAAGAAAAGTGGAAAAGGAAAACAGAGGATTTTTAATGAAGTCATGATCACTCCACAGACATCACCTTCATATGAAGGGAAACAGAGAGTGTAACTCAAATGATAAACCATTAAGTTCCTGAGGCAGACAAACAGAGAGGCTAAACAGAAGGCAGAAATCAAACCAAAATGAGCTAAGAGAGAGAGACCCTGTAGAAAATGATGAAGTTAAGCAACCAGTGTAGTTATAACTGACTTACTCTGGATCTCCTCTCAGACTCAGGAGGGGGCGAGCGGGCCGGCTTTGTAGTTGGAGTCGGACCAGCAGAGACAATGGGCTCACTGACCTCCACTCCCCAAGTCAGTCACCACGAGGACAAGTTCTTTGTTTAGAGATGATTTAATCCAAGCTCACCAACAACATCACTCAGCTGTCCTCGTCAGAACTAATGAAATAAAAGCAGTAACATTTAGAAACGTCAGTTTACTAAACATAAAAATATTTCTCTATTAGCCTCGCTCACATGTTCTGTAAAGATTAAATGACTTAAATCATCACGTGGTTTACAAAAACACATTGTTAATCTCAGCAAATAAGTGTGCATCCAGAAATAACTGTTTCATCTCGTTTGACATGGAAACTTAAAATTACAAAGACACACTGAACGCACCTTCCTACCAGCTGTAACCTAACAGGAGAACGTGCGTTCGTCTTCGCAGCTGCAATACATACCTCACAAATTGCCGTTCATCAATTAGATTTAACACGACGCTTCTCCACAATACTTTGATGCGGGTTCTTCAAAAAGTGCCCTTTTTTTTTTAAACGGCGGAAAGACACAGCAAAGAGCACAGTACGCACAACCCTTCGTCTTCGTCTTCTCCCCTACTTCTTCTTCTTCTTCTGCTTCTTCTTCTTAAATTCTATTGGCGGTTTGCAAACAATAAAATGGTGCGTTACCGCCACCAACTGGTATGGAGTTTCGACCCTCAAACCCTCCCCAAATGTTTACTCTCTTTTAAAAACTGGAACAAAGCCTGATAATTAGTGATGTGTCCTGTGTGTCGAAGCTTCGATACCTGTGTAATCTCGACGAGTTTTCGCGCCAGATTCAGTTCAGTTCAGTTCATTTTTATTTCAAACATTTCAAACATGTGCCTTCACGATCATTACAAAATATCATTCCATTATTTGTTTGAAAAGGAGTAGGCAGAAGTATTTACTTCTTTGTCCCTACCCCCTCAAGTTCAATAAATTTATTCGAAATAAAATGGGCAGCAAAACACAGCTGATTTCCCCATCAGTGTTGTTGAACAGATTACGTACGTGTTACATAGTTACTTGAGCATTTATTGTTCGATGGAACCAGCAAGGAAGAGATTTTTTTTATCTCATCTCTTCAAATAAAGTATGCACACAGTACTAAATATCACGAATGATTAGTACCACAATATAAATAAACAACACCACATATCCTATAATCTGATTTCTGTCTTTTAGTTTTTTTAAAAAGTGAAGCGCCACACACTAGTTTGTGTCATTATCCAGATGTACATAAGCATGATTACACAGTTACTAGGGGTGGGTTTTGATTATCGATTAAAATCGATTCTTGGATAACGTCATATCGATTCATTAAAATCCTGAATCATTTTTTATATAAATGTATTTTGCCCGAAATGCCAGAATCTCAGGTTAAACCTCACAAAATTTCAACAACCACCAAACAGCTAAAGCAGTGAATGAGAGCAGGAACACAGATTCTGCACAAAGACGTAAACACAAAGCACGGAGCCTCCGACGGGTCAGAAGCAGTGAGATGTCGCCTTTCTCACCCGACGGCTCGTACGGGGATGCGGTCGGGGCTGAAAGCCGACAGCTCGCTGATTCTAATGTTTCGCCGGGTCCGCGCTTTGTGTTTACGCCCTTTTTGCTCAAGTTCTGAAGCTGCAGGTTTTATCTCTCACCAAACAATATTGACCAAACCAGCAGCAAAAGAAGATCCAAACTACACTTCACATGGAAGAAATAAACATGATAATTATCTCGTTTGGCTCTCAGCGAAGGCGGTCGCACTTTTTCTCCTCTCCTCTCCCTTATCTTCCCTGCAATTGACACCCCTTTCTCAACGAGAAGTCTGGGCTTGGGTGAGCCTGAGTGCTGAAGATATCTACCTATTAGGAACCATGGTAACATTGTTCTGGTTGATCGGAGCTGGCTTGGCCCTGACTTATCGAAGAATTAAGAAAGCTGAACTGGCTGTTCAAACCCCCACAAGGCTGCCCACTGGGATTGGAATGATGGGAGAGGTGTGAGTTTCTCAAATGGGCTCATTGAGTCAGCACGGATAAGATCTGGACTTCTTTAAGTTGCTTGAAGACGTTTCACCTCTCATCCGAGAAGCTTCTTCAGTTCTAAGGTCAAATGGTGGAGAGTCCCAGATATAAACCTAGTGGGAGTGACCCCCCACAGAGGGACAAAAGGACCCCCTGATGATCCTCTAATCGCCTGAGCCAAGGTGGGAAACTGGGCGTGGGTCCCAATCAGCCAGAGTTTCGTGTGAGTTCATTGTGAAACCTGGCCCCACCTTATCATGCGAATTCCTGAGATCAGATGGCCCAGGATGTGAGTGGGCGTTAAGGCGTCTGGGAAGGATCTCAAAACTGGATTATAGATGGCAGAGAGTTGGTGTCGCAAACCCCCGCCTCTGTTCAAAGATGGTCGCTCACAGTGGACATAGATGGCTTCTTTCACTCCTCTTTCAAACCATCTGTCCTCTCTGTCCAAAATGTGAACATTGGCATCCTCGAAAGAGTGTCCTTTATCCTTAAGATGCAGATGGACTGCTGAGTCTTGTCCTGTGGAGGTGGCTCTTCTGTGTTGTGCCATGCGCTTGTGAAGTGGCTGTTTGGTCTCTCCAATGTAGAGGTCTGGGCATTCCTCGCTGCACTGTACAGCATACACCACATTGTTAAGTCTGTGTTTTGGCGTTTTATCTTTCGGGTGAACCAGTTTCTGTCTGAGTGTGTTGCTGGGTCTGAAATACACTGGGATGTCATGCTTGGAGAAAACTCTCCTGAGTTTCTCTGATACACCGGCTACATAGGGGATGACAATGTTGTTGCGTCTGTCCTTCTTATCCTCCCTCGCTGCTGTCTGATCTTCTTTTCTGTGCCTCTTTGCTGACTTTAAGAACGCCCATTTAGGATAGCCGCACGTTTTGAGTGCTTCCTTTACATGTGTGTTCCTTCTTTTTTCCTTCAGGCTTAGAGGGAACATGTTGTGCCCGGTGGTGTAGGGTCCTGATTACTCCAAGTTTGTGTTCCAGAGGGTGATGGGAGTCAAAGAGGAGGTACTGGTCCGTGTGTGTGGGCTTCCAGTAAACTTCGATGTTGAGTTTGCCGTTCTCTTCAATGTGCACAGCGCAGTCCAGGAAAGGCAAAGAGTCGTCCTTTGTGTCTTCCCTGGTGAACTTGATGTTTTTATCCACAGAGTTAATGTGCGCAGTGAAGGATTCCACTTCTTGTGTCTTGATTTTGACCCAGGTGTCGTCCACATATCTGTACCAGTGGCTGGGTACTCTTCCTTTGAAAGAGCCAAGAGCCTTCCTTTCCACTTCCTCCATGTAAAGGTTGGCTACAATAGGTGACACGGGGGAGCCCATGGCACAGCCATGTTTTTGTCTGTAAAAGCCTTTCCGCCATTATGACAGGTAATGTAGGACTGAAGTGTCCTAAAAATCACACTTAAACAGTTTTTTTAAAGGTAAAGTACATTCTCACATCATACGAGTTTATTATCCAAGTCTCAGAATCCAACAAAGTTACATCCACTTTACAGACTGTTGTACTAATGCTGACTAACAGCAGCACTTAACAACAGAAACATGCAGGATATCCTCACCAGCTCACCTTGATATCTGTGTCACTGGACAGCTTTCTCCAGAGTGAATCGACGTGGACACCAGCCGAGGTAAACAGCTGACTGACAGAGGAGTCACATCATAGACTTGTTTGTCCTGCTGCAGCTGGACATGCATTCGAATTGGGAGAGTTGCAAACATAGAATTTAACTGACTGCACTATGCAATCTAATAACATCTAGTGGTGACATTTTACACACCGAACCTTGGAGAGTTTAAAAAAACAGTCTTTAGTTCATGCAAAGAAAAAAAGGTTAAAGAGTGAAAGTGAATATTCTCTGCTGGTTCAATCATTGTGAACAGAAACAAATCATGTCAAAGATTTCTGATTATAAATCTTTATTCAAACCACAAACCCTGGATTAAATCAAATACAGACTTATTCATTCAACACAAGAAAACACACAGCTACAATATTTTGTCATACAGAGTAACAAACCTCAGGATATGAACACAGTAACAGCGCTCTCTGCTGTGTTGGGTGCTTTTGTTCATGTGCTACAGCAGACGTGCATGGTTCTCCATGTAGTCATGCGGGTCTCCTTCAAAGGGCAGACGTGGAGGACTGTTGCAGGCTCCCATCAGGAAGATGATGATGGTGCCAAAGATCATCACAGGAGTGATCAGGAAGAGGCAGAGACGGTCGACGGTGCGAGCGATGCCGCTCCAGTTATCTTTCTCCTGCGACGACACCAGCGAGGGCAGAGTTTTATGTTTCACCTCATTTTTTATTCAATAAAAACAATAAAGCCATAACCAAAGGAACTAATGAGCTTCTAGTCCTCTCATCAGATGTTGTTACAGTCTGGCCCCAGATCCAAGAATAATGAAGTCAACACAGCAGTGTTAAAAACTGCTGGTTTGGGGACTCCAGTGAACCACAGTGGAAGATTTGGAAGAGACGTGAATCTTCCCAGCAGTGGCCAGACTACCGAAATTACTCCAAGAGCACATCAACGACTCATCTAGGATGTCACAAAAGAACATCTAAAGAACTGCAGGCATCACTTAAGGTCAGAGTTCACGATTCAACAATAAGAAAGTGACTGGGCAAAAATGTCATCCATGGGCGAGATCCAAGACGAAAACCACTGCTGACCAACAAAACATCTGGATGATCCCCAGACTGACCAGATGTAACGGGTTTAAGTCCAGTTACATCAGGTTTAAAACGAATACAACTTTTCAATCAAACATGGAGGTAGTGTGATGGGTTGGGGCTGCGTTGCTGCTTCAGGCCCTGGACGACTTGCTGTAAATGAACCGTGAATTCTGATCTGTACCAGAAAATCCTGAAGGAGAATGTCCGACCATCAGTTCATACACTGAAGCTCAAGATCACTTGGGTTATACAGCTGGATGATGAGCCCAAAAAAACAGATGAAAGTTTTGGACTGGCTTTGGAGTCCAGACTAAAGTCCAATGGAGATGCTGTTTATGCTGAAAAACTCTCCAATGTGGCAGAATTCACACAATTCTGCGAAAAGGAGTGGGGCCAAAATTCCTCCCCAGTGATGTGTAACATTTGTTTTTATTTATTATCAATGCATGAACTTCCCCCCCCCCCCCCCCCCCCCCAGGTTGGCACAACCAGTTCTGAGGCTTAAGGGGCGATGACTTTCACACAGGGCCAGGTCGGTTTGGGCAGCTTTTTCTCTTTATCAATGAAGCCATCATTTGAAAACTGTGTTTTGTATTTTCTTGGATTAACTTTGACAAATATTAGAATTTGTTTGTTGATTTGAAACATGTGCGTGTGGGAAATACTGAAAAAAATGCAAAATGTTGATGAAAACGTGCTAACATTTTTTACACAATTCAAAGCATCTTGAATCAAGCAGAGCATCGTCACGTTCTGGTTGTTCGCTCTCACCTCGTTGTATTCGTTCTTGTTGCGCATGTGTTTGATGATGTAGTTCGCTCCGTCCACAGCTGGCTTCATTTCAGA